ACATGATCGGGGTCTGGCTGCTACGCGTCGTTGTCGAGGTTGCGACTGGTAAGGAAGCTGCTGCGGGTGCCGGTCTTCGCGTTCGGGGTTGGCCTGGTGGCGGCAGCGTCGGCCCGGCGTTGCGATCCGCGCCCGGCCCCTCTCAGGAGCGCTGCCTGGGGCGCCGAACACGGCCGGGGGGAGCTGCCGCTTTGGGTAGCGCAGGTACCTTAACGCTGCCGCTCCTGTCTCCACTCGGTTCCGTTTTAAAGCCCTTTTATTACACTGTATGTTTGTGTGGTAGTAGCGCACGGTACAGATTTTGGTGGCTTTGTGAATGAAAACAGACGCGTGACCACTCCTGGTTTGAAAATGGGCGGTAGTTGATCAATGTTCTTCTGACTGGCGGGGGGTGGTTTTTTGAGCTGCAGCAAAGACAGAATGGGCTTACCGTGGTTTTAGGAAGGTGGATTTGGTTTCGTAATTTTGTCTTTTGAAATCTTAACGCTGCAGTTGAACTGGGTATGAGGAACACACATGCAATGTGTTCATTGGGCAGGAGGAAAATCTAGGGAAGTAGTGAAAGAATTCAGTTTATGTACGTTTTTTTAATGAGTTTTCTATTATCTTCCCTTGCAGAGGGATGCAGACCTCTTAGTAAGAGAGCTGAGGTATCTAAAGGTGTGTTCTGAACGAGTAAGTCCTCACTGGTGTGTAGGTGAGTAAACAGCAAAAGATAATTTTGTAAACTGTAGAAATGTGACTGTGTTAGTGCGATGCTGTTATTTGGGCTGTGACAACAGGTGAGCAAATGTTGATGCATGAATTGTTTTCATTTGTTACGTGTTTCTGCAACCAGGAGTTTGTTTCAGTGGAAGGGGAAAAAAAAAAAGCCCAAAGCATCAGTGGTGCAGCACAAAAATTTGATTGTAATGATCAGGTGTTTCTTTGCGGTAGAGAGAACCCTTTCTGGGTTAAAAAATGCCAGAATTTAGCTTTTTATTTTATTCCAGGGAAAAGGGGGGTTTGCTTAAGAAAGCATTTGTCAAATCTGGATTTGATACTGCTTTTACTGGGAGGCTTTTTTGGGTGGCTGGTGGTTTGGGTTTTTTTGAGAAGTCATGTATTCTTCGTCCTCCTTCTGCCTGAGATATTCTGGTAAGCTTTATAGTAGGAGTGCTTGTTTATTTATTAACTTTTTTTTTTTTTGTGGAACTAGAATGATAGGCATCAGTATTTACTCTGAAGGCAGATCATATGATCACCAGCTGCTTCATGGGATAAAAGCTGTTGTGGCAGTTCTGTTGAAGAACTTTTGCAGGCTGGGGAGGATCTTGCTTTAGTAACTTGTAGTTGAAACTGGAAGTACCACTTTCAGCTTTACATAAAAATTCATAAACCATACGCTTTGTCTAGTCTATCCTTGTGGGTTTATCTGCTGTCTTTGCATTTGACAGGTGTTGTCTATCCCCAATAACTTTGTTAAACAGCAGTTTATTTCCTAGAATTTTTTGGTTAAATTAAGGGCATGCCAGCTTTTTTAAACAATGTGGAATTATAAATCCATTGATAAATTTGAATGGAACCGAAAGCAGATCTTGAAGACCAGATTATTGATGAAGGTCAGAGAAGTATCTGAAGGGTGTGAAGATACTTAAACTGTCAAAATTGGAGTGTTGAGACAAGGCAAAACACACCTGGCATGGTTTTTAGTTGGTGGGCGGTGCAGAAATATTGGACATAAATAATCTGGTGTCTTTCTAAAGAGAATTACATCAAGTGTATCCCGGCTGCATAAAACATGACATTGTCAAATGCTTAGTATGCATTTTAACCAGAAGTTTAATAGTATGCTATTAAATCAGTTTGAAAAGAAATGTCATATAAGTAATTAGTTGACAAAGAAAAAAATACGGAAAAATATCAGGCTGATCTTGCTTCTTTTCTTTGCAGACAATGCAATCTCTGACTCCCTTGCCGAACATAGCAGATATGAATCTGAAGATAACTCATGTAGAATGTCATCCTGAATGCTTGGTTATAGTGTTCCAGGGTCAACACAAGGCAGGACATGAGCTTGACTATTACATACTACAAAATGAAATAGAACGTGTGCCCAAAGTAAAGGGTGATTTTTATGTTGGTGGATACTGCTTGGTGGAAGACATAGAAGGAAAATGGCATAGAGGAAGAATTCGGGAAAAGAGAGAGAATATCTGGGAGGCTTTTCTTATAGACACAGGACAAGTGCTAGCGGTTGAGGATACACATCTTGCTGCTGCTTGTGATGAATTGTTTCAGCTGCCTCCGAAGTTGGTTTTGGGTGTTTTTGCAAGCATACTTCCTCTTGGAGAAAAGTGGGGTCCAAAAGCCATTAACTATTTTTCATCTTTGGTAGGTTTACAAATTACAGGTCATCTGAAAGCTGTTGTACCATATCAGCTGTTTATTCTTGAGGTGCCAAAGATCATTAGTGATGTTCTTGAACTGCAGTTAGGAAAATGTATTGATGGAGATTCATTTTGTCTTATTGTAGAAACGTTAAGAGCATTTCCCCAAGAAATACTTTGTAACAGAGTGCCACAATTATTGCAACAGAAGTATCCAGTCAAGGGGTTGCTTACTTTCAGTAATTCTGAGAAACCAACAGATTTTTGGCAAGTTCCAAATGACCTCTTTCCACGTCTACCTGTTGGTAGTAAAGAAAATGTGAAAATAACTGTTGCAGTAAGCCCAAATAGATTTTACTGTCAGATACAGAAGTGGCAGAAAGAGCTGGAAGATTTGACGGGAGCTATGCGTTTGTACTATGAAGCTGCCAGCACAGAAAATACTAAATGTTTTGATAGTTTAGGGCTACTGTGTGCTGCCAAAAGGCAAAATGGACAGTGGCATAGAGGAGTGATAAAACAGCTTCTCTCAGACCACGTGGAAGTCTGGTTTATGGATTTTGGCAATGTTGAAGCTGTGCCACCTAGTTGTGTTCGGAAACTTGAAGTAGAGTTCATGGCATTACCAATGATTTCGTTTCCATGTGCACTATCTTGTTTTGGTACTCAGGATGAAAAAGTAATAAAGGTTCAGCTGAAAGAGCTTATGCAGGCCTTGATAGGACAAACTTCTCTGTGTGTCCATGTTGACTTGTTCAATGACATTAAACACTTGTATTATGTTACACTGAAAAATCAGAATCTTGGAAATCATGCTAAGCATCCAGAAAACCTGAATGAAGTAGCTGCATCGTGTGTCTCGCTTGTGGACACGGAAATCACAAGTATTGCTGTAAACTGCAAGCCATGTGATGAGAAACACAATTCATTTAAGAATTGTACTGGAAATAAGCATACAAAAACCTACTTACCTGAATGGGATATGTCTTTGTTAAGCCGCTGCAAAAGAGTAGAAATGCAAATTAATTCTTTCTATACTGCTTTTGTGGTATATGTCATAAATCCATCTGACTTCTGGATTCAAATTTGTAAATATCAGAATGAATTTGAAACATTGATGAAAAATATTGCAGATGCCTATAACCAATGTGGAGCTGATGAAATGGTCCTTCAAAACCCAGAACCTGGATTGCTGTGCTGTGCTCGGTATAGCAAAGACATGCATTATTATCGGGGCGTGGTCACTGAAGTGCTTCATGTAAACATTACTGTTTATTTTTTGGACTTCGGAAACACAGATGTAGTACCCTGTTATGATGTGAAAGCACTGCTTCCTGAGTTTTCTGATTTACCAGCTTTAGCTGTGTGTTGTGCGCTTGCTTGTACGTTTCCTGTTGACGATGTGTGGGTTAAAAAGGAAACCGATTTCTTCAAAGAAATTGTGTGTAACAACCTACTCGTGCTTCATGTCACTGGAAAACAAAACAACAAGTATATTGTTAAAGCGCAATATAAGAATGGTTTGCAGCAAGGAGATGTTGCCACGTGTATGGTTCAAGCTGGGTATGCTGAGTACTGGGAAAGGACACCACATTCTATGCTAAATCTGGCAAAAAAAAGTCAAGCCCTGAATCGCCACAAATTTAAAAAAAAAAGAGTAAATGCCCAGAATATCTCTAATACTTGTAAAAATAAGGTAGCCAGAAATGGAGAGAGATTTCAGAAGGAAAAATCATTAAGTGTCCCTTCAGTGCCGAGAGATTCTGTTGTGCTTTCCTGTTTTGGAAAAGGCACTGTCTCTAAAAGGTGTGACTCCGTATTTGAGCAAAAGTTATTATATAAAGAGTTTGTGTTTAAACCAGGAGCTGTTTTTGAAGTGGTGTGTTCTTACATTGTTTCCCCAGCAGATTTTTCATGTCAGTTGCAAAGCAAGCTGCTGGAGCTAAATAAATTAATGGAACAAATTCAGGCTTACTATAAAGAGCATAGCAGCCCTTACAAATCTGGACAGGTTGCCTGTGTTGTTAAATGTCCCAAAGATGGGAAGTGGTACAGAGCAACTGTTGTGCGGCAGGTATCCACAGACGAGGTTGATGTGGTTTTTGTGGACTATGGTTATCGGGAAAGAGGTTTACTTAAAGATCTTCGGGCTGTTCTTCCAGATTTCCTAACTCTGGAAAGTCAAGCATTTCGATGTGCACTCAAAAATGTACCCTTACCGGCTGACTCACTTAATTGGTCTGAAGGAGTGCGTACACGTTTTGAAGACTTTATTTCTGCTTCTGCAGGACCACTGACTTGCATTATTTATGCGCTTATTCTTATAGGCCCCAACTGTTTCTGCCATGTAGTTGACTTACAGACTCAGTTTGTCAGTGCAGAGGCATTTCTCAGAGAACGTGGTCTCACTCAGTCTGAATATATTGGTCTGAGAAACCTTGCGTCTTTGGGTTCTTTGTACAGTTTTTGCTACTCATCTTTTAATATAGAAATTGGAAGTGAAGAGGAGGTTTATATAACTCACATATCTAGTCCTTCAAAATTCTATTGTCAGCTTAATCGAAACACTGAAACTATAGAGGCATTGATGAAGACGATTAATGCCATAAGTCAAATGTCAAATAATGCCAAGTACGATACCAGCAATACGCGATTATGTATAGCCAGATATTTTGAAGATGGTCTCTTCTATAGAGCTTTGGTTTTTCCTGTAAAATCGACTTCCTATCTGTGTGCTAACTTTGTGGATTTTGGAAATGAGAATATGGTAGAGAGAGACCAGTTGATACCTATTCCAGACTCTGCCACTGACTTAATATTCACACCCATGCAAGCTATTAAATGCTGCTTGTCAGGTCTTAGGGAGACAAGAATTCTACCTGGAGTTACTAGATGGTTTGAGGAAACATTCCTTGGTAAAATGCTGAAGGCTGTAATTGTATCCAGAAAATCAGATGGACAAATTGTTGTGGAGTTGTATGATGGACAGCTCAAAGTAAGTCAGAAAATAAAAGAAAAAATATTGGAAGAATTGTCACCACAAAATTACATGGAAAAATGTCATCTTTCATGTGATCTATCAGCCCTTCATTATGTCCAAGAAAAAGAAATTAATAAAGTAACTGTTAAAAATCCTGGAAGAGTTAAATTGAAAACTGAAGAGAAATGCCAAGTATATAAAAACTATTATCAGAGAGATGTTGGGCAGGATTTTGGAGGTGAAGAGCAAACCGCATGTAGCACACAAATGTTGGGTAGTGTGTCCTCAAAAGTGCTAACTTTACAGGACAGTGAAGAGCGAGGTTTTAGAAGTACTGTCAGTGCTGCTCTGGAGCACAGAGTGGAAACTCTGGTTGGAGACCCTGCTTCTCGCTCTCTCTGTCGTCCTACTTTAAATTCAAAGGAAATAACTGTAATTGCTCTCTCTGAATCTCATAATGAAAGACTAAATG